TTATTAGTAGCTCCCACAGTTCAGTCAGACTCTATTGCATTGACCATATTTCAGTACGGTCAGTATTCAGTCTCAGCATGTTATAAATTTGGTCATTGCATCAGTTAGCTCAGTATTCAGTATTTTCAGTATCTATATCATGTTCAGATTATTTCATTGCTTTATTGCTTTGTTCAGTGATATGTTATTTCAGCTGTATTCTATCCTGCATGTTTAGTACCTTTCAAGTACTGATGCATACGTGCGCTATATCTTCTCGTGATGTAGGTTCAGGTTCTCAGCATCCAGATCACGCTTAGATCGATTCCCGATCTTCAGTTCAGCTGCACCAGTGGTGAGTCCTCATTCTTCGTGGACTAGTGACATGTTTATCTTTATCGCTTTTAGTCTTTAGTTTCAGTTTTGATAGATCTAGTTGGGGCATGTTCCAACATTTCTAGTCAGTTTAGAGGCTTATTTCAGACATAGTTAGATTTAGCTTAGTATTGAGTTAATATTTTCTTTGTATTAAACTCATCAATTTTTCATATATCTCAGATATAGTATATGGGTATTCCCCATCATTTCAGACTTACTTTATGATTTAGCTTCCGCATCAGTTATTATTATCTTTAGTATGCTCATGATCATGCCAGCAGGGTTAGCTTGGGATCACTTGTGGTCCTAGGTCCCGTGTCCGCGTCTTGGGGGTAGTCTCGGGGCGTGACAATTAGGGCTCATCAAATGTGCGTTCTCAACAACAGAGCTCGGATCATTAATTAACAGTATCATTTCACTTCACATCCTAGCACTATCATTCTCTGGAAAAACTTAACAGCAACTTCAGAGCACCCGTTCTTCATGTACCCATAAATCATACGAGTCTATGAATAAACATCTCTAGAAGGCATGTAAGAAAACATCAAGAACCCCAAACCCATTTTTCCCTCAAGCATTGCATTAACTAAATTCAGTATCATTATTATCAGTTAACTATCTCCTGGGGCCTATTCGACTGATAAACAGAAATTGGAAACTACTTGAATCATTCGATCAATTTCCAACTGAGATAATAGCAGAAGTCGTATGCTTAATTTATGGGTTGCTCATGGCTTTGTGTCATTTAAGTACCTAAAGAAGAATTTGAGTGTACATAAGACTAATTGGTAAGGTTCTACTGGTTTAAAATATAATGTTTAGGGATCACGTACAACGCGCAAGGACAAGATCTTAGTAAAACATGTGATAATCTGCTGTCAGGATATTGGAATCACATTAAAGTTCCTAAAAGACTTAGCTTCCAATGTCTTTTCTGGTGAAGAGCTAAAGATTATTGGAAATGCTGATAAGTAATTGATTACTTGTCTGTATATTTGTCACATTGTTCCCTGGCCAAAATTTTAGGAAATAGATGCATTGTTGAGCGTATGCTCGAAACCAATTAAGGATACGAAAAGTTCTGTCACAACAAATTCTTAAAAGGGTATATGCATAGTACACTTATCCTAACTATCAAAACCTTCTTTTTTTTTTTACCTTTTAAGTTAAAGTCTATACACAAAGTAACACTCTTATCCTGACTAATCAAGACTTTAACGGATTTTCGATTTGGGACAGTAAGTAATACCTTAAAATCACCAGAACTGCAAATCCAAACAAATTTACATGACAAATTGTGAGAATAAACCGACATCAATTGCATAAAATTTTGGACGAGAAAAACTCTTAAAAATGGTGTAATATCATTGGCTTTGGGTAAAACTTGCACAGTTTCCTCTTAAATGTTCACTTTATACATATCTTCTTTTTATCTTACCAACTTCTAATGCAAGACTTTTTTCATACACCCAACCGACATAAGAGAGCCAAAACAACTTTTGTATGTGTTGTGTGTGGAGAGTTGTTAAGAGAGACACGTTGAATGTGAATATGTAATTGACAACTCTAAAATTGACTGAACATGACAAGGTGACCTTCCTGAAATTGATTACTCCAAAGCAACAACTAAATGTACATAGTAAATTTCTTTTCTTAGTTTGTGCTATATATACCTCATCAAACTTACTGAATATAGACACACAACAAACATTTCTTGATTTCTTCTCTACCAACTTAATTAGTTTTGATCATTTTAGAGCAAAAATGGGTTATGTAAAACTTTTATTTTTTATGCTATATACCGTTCTTTGTCAACTTGCTTTCTCGTCATCCTTGTGCCCCAAAGATCAAGCTCTTTCTCTTCTACAATTCAAGCACATGTTTACCATTAATCTTGATGCTTCTTATGATTGTGAGTTTTCTCATCCAAAAACTCGTTCATGGAACAAGAGCATGGATTGTTGCTCATGGAATGGAGTTCATTGTGACAAGACAACAGGACAAGTGATTGAGCTTGATCTCCGTTGCAGCGAACTTCAAGGCAAGTTTCATTCCAATAGTAGCCTCTTTCAACTCTTCAATCTCAAAAGGCTTGATTTGTCGTATAATGATTTCACTGGATCACTCATTTCACCTAAATTTGGTGAGTTTTCAAGTTTGACGCATCTTGATTTGTCGCATTCAAGATTTACAGGTCTAATCCCTTCTGAAATATCTCACCTTTCTAAATTACACGTTCTTTTTATATGGAACCCCTCGGGTGGTTTATATGACCTTAGTCTTAGTCTTGGGCCTCACAATTTTGAACTTCTCCATCAGAACTTGACCCAATTAAGAGAGCTTGACCTTTATGGTGTGAACATCTCTTCCACCATTCCTTCAATTTTTTCTTCTCATTTAACAACTCTAGCACTTTCAGACACACATTTATGTGGGATATTGCCCGAAAGTGTTTTCCACCTTTCCAACTTAAAAACTCTCG